TCTGGAAGAATTTTTGTGGTCAAACTGTGAAGTTAATGAAGAGGAGTTTTCCTTTCAAATCTGGTTTTGCTGTGACTCCAGACTCTGATTTTTCTGGTTTGCATCAATATATAGTCTGATTCTGTTCCTTCAACACATCCTCTAATGTTCATTCCTGGCTGCACAACAGTATCTTCTAGCAGGCTATTGACCCGATATGGAGCTGCAAAACTTACCTGTCGATCTATAGTAGGTACTAGTAGAAATGTTAATAAAAATACAGTGTATTCCAAGAGTGTTACCGAGAAGGATATAAGTGGAGAATTACCTACTGCATCTTAAGAACATGAACAGGTGAAAACATCATTGTCTTCTAATCTGGTACATATAACCTTCACACTCTGCAGTGTTACAACTCAGATATCAGTCCCAAATACTCATGGTATTAATCAGAGTTGTCCTACTATAACAACACATGATCTGAAGTTTCTTCTGTTAATATACATCCTATGGGTCACATGACTTAAGTCCAAGAATGCAGAATCTTCAGCTCAGCTTTCCTCACTACTCAAACCATTCTCAAAGAACCTCAATCAAGTTAAAGAAGCATTGTCTATTCCTAAATGGAAGGTGCCATGGAGAAGGAGTATCAAGCTCTTCTGGCATCAAATATGGGGAGTGTAGTCCTATGAGAAGGTATGCACATTGTTGGCTGCAAATGGATTTTTAAAACTAAACTTAACTTGATGGAACCTGCAGAGTATAAAGCTAGGCTGGTGGCTAAAGGTTTCAACAACAACCCTTGGCCTAGACTATTTGATACATTTTCACCAGTGGTCAGGCTGCTACAATTCGATAATGTTTCACTCTAGCAGTCCATCACAGCTGGAAATTCATCAGTTGGATGTGAAATAACGCATTTTTGAATGGGATCTTACGGAGCAAGTGTACATGATGCCTCTGAAGGTTTTTCTCAACCTACTTATCCAACACAAGTTTTGCAACTTAGAAAGGCCTTGTATGGATTGAAGCAAGCCCCAGGGCCTGGTTTGATAAACTGAAAACAACCTCTTGCTTTGGGTTTTAAAAAACATCTCGGATGTGAGTCTATTCTTCTACAATGCTGGATCAGTTGTAGTCTATTTTGTTGGTTTATGTTGATGACTATTTTTGATCATTGGAAATGCTCCTGAACTTATAACCAAGGTGATTCACGACCTGACAGTCAGTTTGCACTAAAGGTGATGGGTCCAGTGTCATTTTTCTTGGATGGGGTTAAAGGAATGCTTGTGGTTTGCTACTTTCTCAGTCTAAATATGACAAGATCTGCTGGAAAGGCAATAGGCAGGTTGTAATCCTAGTTCAATCCCATGGTTTGGAACTAAGCTCAGCAAGAAGATGGAGAGTTGTTTGATCAACCTACATTTTACAGAGCATGTGGAGGTTGACAATAACCTAACGCGTCCAGACCTGACTTAGCCTTCACGGTGAATAATTTAAGTTAGTTTCTAACATCCAACCACAACACATGGGTAGCATGCAAGAGGGGTGTACAGTAATTAAAGGAACTCTGAACCATGGCTTGCAGTTTACAAAACACTCACATTTGGAGCTGAAGTTATGCCGATGCTGATTAGGCAAGCGATATAATGACGCCAGATCTACTAGGGGTTCTGCTATTTTCCTTGGTAACAATCTGGTTCAGTGGAGTTCCAAAAAGTAGAAAGTAGTGTCCCTTTCATCAACAGAGCTGAGTACAGATACTCAGTCAAGCTACCATAGAAGTTGTCTGGATACAACAATTATTTCAAGAGTTAAATGTTCATTATCAAGCATGCTCCGTTGATCTGGTGCGATAATATGAGTGTAGGGGCTCTCTCCTCAAATCCTGTTTTCATGCCCCACGAAACAAATAGAATTGAGGTTCACTATGTGCGGAGAACTGGTTGCAAGGAAGGCTGTAGCAGTGCAGTATGTTGGCGTCTGATACCAGAAAGCAATATTCTGACTAAACCTTTGACTGGAGCAGATCAAATGTTGAGGAGTAAGTTAAATGTAACTACAGAATTACTGAGTGCACTGACTGAGCAATAATGCGTAGTAGAAGCGCAGCAAAAAAATTCACAAGAAAATGCAGAAAGCTGAATGGGGTAGTAGAATGAATGGGGAGTAGAATGATATTGCAAGTCATGCTGCGTTTCAATGTAGAAATGCAAAAAGGTGAATGTGTTAGAAAATGCAGAAAACTGATATGGAGGAAGTGTAGAAGTTCAAGGCAGAAAATGCAGAAGATGTGGTTGTGTCTTCAAGTAGTACAGCAAAAGCTGAATTAGTAAAAATGAGAAAACTGATAGTGTGGAAAAAAAGCAGAAAGGTGATTGTGTTAGTAAAATGCAGAAAAGTGAGTGTTAGAAAAAAATGCAGAAAGCTGATTTGGTTAGTAAAACTAGCAGAAAATGAAGTGTTAGAACAATGCAGAAAGTGATGTGTAGAAAATGCCAAAAAGTGAAGTGTTGAAATGCGAATGAGGATAGTAAAAGCAGAAAAGTGAAGTGTTAGAAAAAGGCAGGAAAGTGTGAATGGGATCGTAGAAGATGGATGTGTTAGTTTGATCGATATTGCAGAAAAATGCAGCTGTAAAAGAAGGCAGAAATGAGCGTGTGCATGTTGCCAGGAGAAGAAAAATGGCTGAGAAAGTAATGTGAAGCTGAATGAAGTAGAAAACATTGCAAAAACTAAATCAATAGCAGACCAAAAAAAAAAAAAAAAAAAAACAGAATGGAAATTGAAGTTGTGTTAATGGGGAATATTAGATGAAGGGAGAAACGTTGTCTCGAATGTTTGCGAGAGAAGTTCTGTTGAGAGGAAATATTAGATAAAGGGTAGAGAAATTGTCCTGTATGTTTTGGAATGAGGTGAATTGTAATAGTGTAAAGAAAGGGGGTTTACTGTAATAGTCCAAGAAAAATCAAACGCAGCGTTTTGTTTTAATCTGTAGTTCAAAACGGCGTTTTTCATTGTTTTTCACAACTATAAAAGGTGGTCTCGTCTTCTCAAGATAGACATATAGGCACACATTTTCAACAGTTTTTTTTTTTTTTTTTTTTTTTTTTTTTGTTTTTTTAGTTTTTCATTCAATTACAGATTCATCAACAACGTCTTTCAAGTATCAATATTTTCTAATCAGGAATTTTAATTTTTCTGCTGATGTCATGCTGACATCACGGTCAAACCCGATGGTTGAACCGGTTGGACCGGCCAACTCGGGACCCGGCTCCCTGACCGGGTCATCCCACGGGTCGAGTTTTAAAACCTTGGAAAATATCGAGAATTCTTTACAGACGCAGATTTCATCCTAAATAGATCATCTTACATCTATATCTAAACATTGGTTTAGGAAGAATATGCAAGAAAAACATTTCGAATTGTCGATTTATTGTCAAAGATAGCATAGAACCAATATTTTATTATCTAATTGATTTGTCTGTTGTTTTACGTTATCTAAGAGTTCTCAGTATTTATCAATATGTTTCTATCTACTGCAATGCTATTTGGATCAAATGACAACATTGTCATCGAAAAAAAGACTTTTTTTCGATGAAATAAAAAGTGGATTAATGTCCCTGGAGAAAGGTTTAGTACTGCTCCAAAGCTGAAAGCAAAACTGCATTTGGCTGAAAAATTCTGTATGCTTTGTGTAAAAAGATATTTGGTAGAATACAGTGGCCCCCCTGAGGATTGAAAAGTATAACATACCTCACCTTTCTCAACTGTCAAATAACGGTAAAGCTCAACTGGAGATATAGGAAATTCGTTTAACAACCCCTAACTCTATCTATCTAGGGCGAGGCATGTTTCTATTTTTATTAAACCTATGGGGTTTAATTATTCCACCAAACCTTACCGGGGTGTCATAATTTTTCCAAAGATTATCAAGGTTATGAGTTTCATCTTTTAAGACAAAATAAATAAATTGAATTTTACCATTTTTAGAATGACTCATTTGACATATCTAAATAATATATTTCTATAGAGTTTTGCTGCATGAAAGGGAACCGCGGTTATCAACAAATAAATAAGAAAAACGACAGCTACTATACAACACATTTGAGGAAGTTCATTTTTATAATTATTTTGACAAAATAATATTGGTTTTGCATACATCATGATATCAAATAATGTTTTATATATAGGTGATATTGTGGTAACACTATCACTGTGTTGAAAATTTCAACTTAATTGTCACGTGTTGAAATTTTCAACATGATGAATTCTTAATTTGATTAGAGATTATGGTAATAAGACGTTTCCATTTTTAGCTAAACAAAAGTATTTCTGTATGTTAACCAACCTCTGAGTAGCTGAGTGGTTTGATAAAGATTTTTAGGTGTATTATTCAAGAGATCCTAATTTCGAGTTTTTTCTCGATTGCTAATAAGGGTGATCACTGGAACTCTTATCCGGTGTAGTTTTAGGAGCATGGAGATTAATTGAGGTGCTTATAAATTTTTTTAGATATTTCTTTTATAAAATAAATATAATATTTTTTTTTTTTTTCTATTTTTTTTTCCTTTTTTTTTTCTTAAATTTTTTTTTTTTTTTTATTTAAATTTTTTTTTTTTTTTTTTTTTAATTATTTATTTTTTATTTTTTTTTTATTTTTTTTTTTTTTTTTTAATTTTTTTTTTTTTTTTTTTTAATTTATTTTTTTAATCTTTTTCTTTTTGTTTTTAATTTTTTTTTTTTATATTTAAGAACCAGGTCAAATTGTTGGAACTTTTTCTAATAGTTTAAATTTTATAATCGAAGTATTAATTTATTGAATAGAAGAAATGTTTAACATCAGAAGTAAGACTCTGTAAAAATACAAGTGAAAATTGAAATGCTTCAAAGAAGTTTACAATAATGAAGTGTTGCATTAAAGTAAAAAAATCTGGCTCCAGAATGTAGTCAACAAATATTGTCTGTCAACATTGTGCTTTGATGGAGTGGACTTTCTTCGAGTGGAAACAGTGACTTGTTTAGTAAACTTTGGGTGGTGGTGGGGAGTTGTAGTAATAAGGTGGTGGAGGTGAAGGAGAAGGTGGTGGTGGTGATTTGTAATGGTAGGGAGGAGGAGGTGAGGGAGATGGTGGAGGAGGAGACTTCTAGTAGTGAGGAGGAGACTTCTAGTAGTAAGGAGGTGGAGGGGATGGAGATAGAGGAGGTGGGGATTTGTAGACATAAGGAGGGGGAGGCGACTTGTAAATGTATGGAGGAGGAGGAGATGGTGATGGAGGAGGTGGTGACTTGTATACATATGGAGGAGGTGGTGAAGGTGAAGGTGGAGGTGGTGACTTATGAATGTAGGGAGGAGGTGGAGATGGAGATGGTGGTGGCAGTGACTGATAAACGTATGGAGGAGGAGGTGAAGGCGAAGGTGGTGGTGGAGATTTATAAACATAAAGAGGAGGAGGTGATGGAGAAGGTGGAGGTTGTGACTTATAGACATATGGAGGAGGTGGTGATGGAGATGGGGGTGGGGGTGACTTGTAAATGTATGGAGGAGGGGGAGAGAGAGATGAAGGAGGTGGGAATTTGTAAACATATGGAGGTGGAGGTGATGGAGATGGTAAGGGAGGAGATTTGTAAACATATGGAGGATGAGGTGATGGTGATGGAGGTGGTGGTGACTTATAGACGTATGGAGGAGGTGGCGAAGGTGAAGGTAGAGGTGGTGACTTGTAAATGTATGGAGGAGGTGGAGGTGGAGATGGTGGTGGTGGAGATTTATAAATGTAAGGGGGATGAGGTGATGAAGATGGAGGTGGAGGAGACTTGTACACATATGGAGGAGGAGGGGATGGTGAAGGTGGTGGTGGCAACTTATAAACATGAGGAGGAGGTGATGGAGATGGTGGAGGAGGAGACTTGTTCACGTAAGGTGGAGGAGGTGATGGTGATTGAGGAGATGGTGACTTACAAATGTACGGAGGAGGAGGTGAAGGTGATGGTGGTGGAGGGGACTTATAAACATAAGGATGAAGAGGTGATGGCGAAGGTGGTGGTGGGGACTTATAAACATAAGGATGAAGAGGTGATGGCGAAGGTGGTGGTGGGGAATTATAAACATAAGGAGGAGGAGGAGATGAAGATGGTGGACGTGGTGACTTATAAATATACTGTGCTGGAGGGGATGCTTTCGGCGGTGAAGTTGATTTATAGTAATAAGGAGGTGGAGACGACTTGCGCAGTGGTGGCGGCGACTTGTAATAGTAACGAGTCGGAGGCGGAGAAGGTGGTGGAGGAGACTTGTAATGATATGAATATGGTGATTTATAGTAATAAGGTGATGGTGAAGCATAAGTGTAAGGCTTAGACATGCTTCGTGGCCATGAGGATTAGACATGCTCAAATGTGAGTCTGAATACCTCAGATACCTAAAAAATAAGATGAAATCAAGTCATTTAAGAAGTAATTTACTCCCTCCGTTCCGAAATAAAAGTCGTTTTAAGCAATTGCACACTTTTTAATAAACTAATTTTTTTAATGTAAACAAATTTTCTCTCTTCTACTCCATCTCTTATTGATTCCTCCTTCTAAAAGTGCGGTGGGAAATTTTTTGGTTTTCCCGCCTATGTAAAAGTGTTAAAGTGTACTACTCTTTCATCTCTTCCTGTTAGGAAGAGTCAAGAGTAAGAGTCAGAGCTGTCCAGCTTAAAAGAGGATGTTAGTAAAGAATTAGAGTGAGTTGAGTTAGTCAATCTGCCGTTTACGTTCAGTTTGTTTTAACAGTTAGTTACTATTATCTCAGCTTTATAAAAGTGCCATTTACTATACCATTTTTGTTTTCAGCAAATCAATAAAGAATTCTTGCTTTTTCTTTTATGTTTTCTTTCTGTTCCAAAGCTTAACAGCTCACATGGTATCAGAGCCGTTTGACAAACGTCACATATGGCCGATTTCTCTTAATTTTCTCCCAATCAACACAATTCAGATCACAAACTAACCTCTAAAACCATCAATTCTGCAATTTCCCCAAAAATGGTGTCTTGTACTCTACCTGTAATATCTCCTAAACTAACTAGGGATAATTACAGATTTTGGAAATCACAGATTCTGTTTGCCGTGGGTTCACACAACTTGGAAGAGCATCTTACTGGTATGATATCTTGCCCAGCTCCCTTCATCAAAGTTCAAAGTGAAGGATCAGCAGAAATTGCAGAAAAGAAACCTAATCCAGCGTATAATCAGTGGAAAAAGACAGATAAACTTCTAGTAAGTTGCTTCCTTGGTTCAATATTTGAGTCAATGTTTACAATTGTGTCGAAATGTTAATTTTCTTCCGATATGTGGATTTCATTAGAAAAGGAGTTCTTCACTGAGTCAAGAACTAAAACACTCCATATTAAGAATCTGTTGCAAAACACTAGAAATGACAATTTGAGCATTCACGATTACTTCATGAAAATGAAAAACTTTGCTGAAATACTGAATTCTAGTGGAACATTAGTTACTGACGAAGAGCTATTGAACTACATACTTGATGGCCTCAGTTCTGAGTATGACGTTGCCGTAGTAAATATCACCACAAGGTTAGAATCCAGAATTGATCATTTGTCTGTTCAAGAAGCACAAGTTATTTTACAGAAATATGAACTGAGATTAGAAAGAGCCAATTTTGGATTGTACTCACTCGTGAACACTAAATTTCAAGGAGGTTTTATTCATTTTGTAAACTTGACAACTGGTGATAGTAACAAGAAATATCACAGTGATCAACCTCAGTCTTCAACCATGCAATCTTCTGGTTTTTCACAACACAACCCCACTTCTGGACTTAGCCACAGCCAACTTGTACATCCAGCTTCTAGTTAGTTTGTGAATTAAGCACAAAGTCAGTTTGTGAATGCTGTACCAAGTCAGTTTGTAAATCCAGCACCACAACCTACCTTTTACTCTCCTCAATTTGCTGGAAATAGAGGAAGATGATGTGGAGTTGGAAGAGGCATGCTTATCTGCCAAGTCTATGGTAAAACAAGGCATTTAGCTTTAAATTGTTATCATAGATTCGATACAAGCTTTACCGAAGGAAACAACTCCATGATGCAATCTAATTTTGCTCCTGGTTACTCCACCAAACCACCAGTTGGTTTTCCAGAATTGTTATATTCCTCTCCAAATTCCCACCAACCTCCTTACAATCCTGCATTAATGACTTCACCAGCTGGATTTCACTTAGGTCCAATGTCTACCTCAATTGGTTATTCTGGAGCACCATTTTACAATAACCTTGGAGGCCAGAACTCTACTCAAGTCAATCAAGTCAGTCCTCTAGAAGGATCTAATTCAGCAGTCTCGAGATAACCTCAAATGATTCATGATCCTGGCACATCATCAAACGCTCATAATCAAGTGATTTTGTCACAAAATCAGCCATCACTTTATGCTAATCCCACTACTAATTATGTTGCAGTACCCTCCACAGTCTAGGATGCCTCCTGGTATATGGATTCAGGTGCCACATATCATGTGACAGCAGATCTCTCTCAGCTCACTGGCAACTCCACTTACTCAGGCAGCGAGCAGCTTTAGGTTGGGAATGGTGAGCTTCTAACTATATCTTACACTAGCTATGCCTCTTTACCATGTCATTCTAGGTCTCTTTATCTTAAAAATGTCTTATGTGTTCCCCATATTACCAAAAATCTGCTTAGTATATCTAAATTTATTAGAGACAACAATGTAATTGTTGAATTTTTTGCTGACCATTGTGTTGTTAAGGACAAACAATCCAAAGTGGTTCTTCTTCAAGGAAGGCTTAAAGATGGTCTTTATCAACTTCCAACTCCAATCACTCCACAGTCTAACCTGCCTGTTGACTTTCCTCAATCTAATGTCTCTGTTTTTCATTCTTCAACTCAACTTCCTAGTCCACCACAATCCATAAAGCCTTTGTTTTCTTTAATACTAAAAGATTGTACTAAAAATAATGTCAATATTGGCTATGTGCCTAAGAATAATGATGTGTTTTCAAATTTTCCTGCACTTGTTTCTCCTTGTAACACTATTGATATTGATAATAATAAAAGTGTTCAATCCTTCTCTGCTACCAAAACTAGTGGAAGGCTATGGCACACACGTTTGGGTCATCCCAATGCATCAGTTCTTGCCAAAATCTTACATCTTTTGCAATTACATCACACCACCTCACACACCTTTGACTTCTGCTCAGCATGCCAATTCAGCAAGCTACATCAGTCCACCTTTCCGAGGATAGATTCAAGAGCCTCTCAACCTTTAGAATTAATTCACTTAGGCCTCTAAGGTCCATCTCCTATCCCATCCGCTGCAGACTTCAAATACTACATTCAGTTTCTAGATGACTACAACAGATTCACCTGGGTTTTTCCTTTGAAAAATAAATCTGAAACACAACTCATATTCAAACAGTTTCATGTCATGGTAGAAAAACAGTTCAATACTACCCTAAAATGTGTTCAAACAGATTGGGGGGTGAATATAGAAGTTGGGTCTCATATTTTCTTGATGATGCCATTATTTTTAGGCATTCATGACCCTACACTCATCAACAAAATGGATGAGTTGAAAGGAAACATAGAAAAATAGTCGAACAAGGCCTAACCGTTCTTGCTCAAGCTAGTATGCCTTTGAAATACTAGTGGTTTTCCTTTCAAACTGCCTCCTCCCTCACAAATAGGTTGCCCACACTTGTTTTGTTTGGTCTTTCCCTATTTCAAGTTCTCTTCGAACAAATTCTAGCATATAACCACATTAGAGTCTTTGGATATGCTGCCTATCCTTTCCTAAGACCTCACAACTCTCACAAATTTGATTCTATACTACAACATGTGTTTTTGTTGGGTATAGCATGCATCACAAAGGGTATAAATGCATGGATCCTAAAGGAAAAATTTACATATGTCAGAGTGTAAAATTTGATGAAAGCAGGTTCCTTTTTGCCACTGACACAAATTTCAATTAAGAAACAATGCTCCTTATTCCTTATTTACTGATGAAACTTTTTTCAGAATGCCTACTCCTTTGCTCCCTACCTGTGTTTCATTATCACCACCCATTTCCAATCCTTCTTTTATATCTCTTTCTTCAGCTATTTTGCCTACCAATGGTCAGTAAAGTTCAACAGATACAACATTGTCTCAGTCACCTTCTGCACCTAATACTACAATTCAGTCACTTTTACCTTATACTATTGTTTCCCCATTAGCCGATTCCTCCACCTTATCTCCTACCAACCCTCAATCAAAACACACCCACTCTACACACTTCTCTCACCAGAATACTCCACCATCATATTCCATATCACAACCTACTCACTCACCTAAATCTTCATGTCCAACTTCCTTTGAGTCTATTCATCTAGTAGTAGAGCTACCTTTTGATAAACACTTATCCATTCCCACTACCTTAACAGAGTCGTCTGAGCCAACATCTTCACACTCCCTAAACACTCACCCTATGATCACTCGGTCAAAGTCCAAACATCACAACTCCCTTTTGACCACCACTACCAGCCCTTCCTCTTCATTAGATACCCATGAGCCAGTAAGTGTAGCTGAAGCTCTCTCTCTCACACTTCCTGGAAGGCTTCCACGGACAGTGAATTTCAAGCACTGATATCTAATCATACGTGGGAACTTGTACCAGTTGTTCTCACATGAACATTGTAGAATGCAAGTGGGTGTTTAGAATTAAACAAATTATGGATCTATTCAAAGGTTCAAAGCAAGGCTTGTTGCTAAATGTTTTCAACAAACACTCGGGGTGGATTATCTAGAAACATTCAGCCCTGTCATTAAATCATCCACAATTTGAGTTATACTTACTTGATTGTCACCTATGGTTGGGATATTCAGCAAGTTGATGTTAATAATGCATTCCTAAATAGAGAGTTTACCGAGATAGTCTACATGGCACAACCCCAAGGTTTTGTTGATAGTAAAAAACCCCTTCATGTATGCAAACTGATAAAGGCCCTCTATGGTCTCAAACAAGCTCCTCGAGCTTGGTTTGAGAAGCTCAAAAATGCTTTTCTCCTGTGGGGATTTACTTCTTCAGTGGCTGATTCAAGTCTTTTCATTTATAAACACAATGGTCAAGTCATGTATGTAGTGGTTTATGTTGATGACATTCTATTGACTGGGAGTGATGCTAAATTGGTTCATGATATTGTCCACAAGCTGAATATTGAGTTTGCATTGAAAACTCTAGGCTTTCTCAAGTACTTCTTAGGCTTTGAGGTACATAGGATAGAGTCAAGCATTCACATGAGCCAAGATGAATATGCTAGGGATCTCCTGATAAAAACTGGTATGAGTGACTCCAAATCATGTTGTTTGAG